TATTTGTATATATATATATATATTAGTCTTTGTACTTTTTGTAGACTACCTCTAGGAACAGGGTGTGTAGACTGCTAGCCTTTATGTGAATACTTTAAACCCTGCACTTACCCACTTTGGGAAGGGTGGGATTAAGAGTCTGGTTCTCTCTTGCTTATATATAAATGAATTACATTTTTTTCAGTCTTTTCAACAATGCCAGTCTGGAGACTAAGATACACCTGATTCAGGCTATAGTCTTCTCAATTATTTGCTATGCATCACAGAACTGGACAATGACTAGGGATGATAGAAGAGGAACTGATGCCTTTGAATTGTGGTGCTGGATTAGAATATCAAACATACCATGGACTGCCAAGAGAACAAACAGGTCTGTCCTGGAGAGGGTGAAACAAATTTGCTCCTTGGAGGCAATGATTTTGAAGTTCCATCTCACATACTTTGGGCATGTTGCCCTGGAAAAGGACATCATGCTTGGAAGGGTGGAGAGACAGTGCAGGAGAGGAAGATCCTGGATTAGATTGGTTGACACAGTAACTAGGATAATGGAGGTAGGTGTATCCAAGATGGTGAAATGGGCTCAGCATAGGACAGGGTTCAGAACTGTTGTGCATAGGGTCGTTATGCGTCACAAGCGACTAGATGTCACAGTATACACCACCAACAGCTACTACTTTTCATTTGATTTGACTGTATTGGATTAGCATTGCTCCAGACACAAACCAACATTTTAGTAACAACCTAGGGATGGTAAAGGTGCCTATCTCCTTGGGTTATTTACTAAGGATCAAATGGGATGTAATTAGTTGCTTTCCAATGAGTAGATTCTGACATGGTGGCTCCACGTGTGTGAGACCTATCTTCTGAGATGAATCAGGACTTTTGTCTAACAGTGGGTGCATTAATGCTTTACATCACCCAGGAACTTTATCAGTGGCAGAGAAGATCCACCTGGGAACCTCACAGTAGCCAATCAACATTAGAGAAGTGACATCATCACTCTCCTAGAGAGTAATTCCTGTGAACCAAGAACTGGGCTAAGACTTAGTTGAAGTTGATAGGCTGGGCACCACCCAGTGGCTCCATCAGAAATGTGGTTAGAACTTAGAATATGAAAATACACATTTATTTAATAAATAACACAACAACAACAACAAAAATATATAATAAAGAAATGTGGGAGTTCTGGTGGCCTAGTGGGAAGAAGCAGCGCTTCAATCCTGAAGGCACGGGGTTTGAGATCACCAGCTGCTCTGTGGGAGGATGGTCAATCTCCTCTCATGAGATTAAACACCTATGAATAACTGCTCGAGGGTCAGCTATGAGTTACTTCCAACTCTCTGGCACACAACAACAGCTATAAATAAATGTAAAGGTAGATGGTATATACATTTGTAGTAAGTACTGGCTTTAAGGTGTCTATACTGGTAAAAAAAGAACAAGCTGAGCACATAAATAAATGAACAACATAATTTTAACTGCTGGTTAGTGCCAGGGAGCTCTAGTGGCCTAGTGGATAGTGAGCTGTTTTGTGGAATGTACTTGGTGCGG